TAAATATGCACTTAACAGGTTTCCAATGAGATTGAGTTTTTTTTTTTCCCATATATAAGCATCTGGATATCCTCATTTGGGAAATCCTTGTTCAAAGGTTTTGACCATTATTCTAATTGCATTGTTTGTCTTTTTTTCCCAAATAACATGCAAAGTATGTCATGGATAGAAGTCTTTTTTGTATATATGTATTATAGATATTCTTTCACATTTTTTATTTGCCTTTACTGTTTTAAATAATGGTATGTTTTGATGATTGGGAGTCCTTAATTTTAATTGATCAATTTTTAATGGTTATTGTTTTTCATACTTTGTTTATTAAAACCTAGCACACCTCAGGGTCATGGAGTTATTCCATATTACCATTTAGAAGCTTTTTAGTGTGCCACAAAGTATATGGTGGGCTATGCCATGTGCTCCCTTCTTTTAAGCATTGGGTGTCACACCACACAAAATTCAGCAATCATAAGTAACTTCAGTGTTTATAACTCATGCAGAAATAAGCAAAACAAAGGAAATCCCCAAATGAGCAGAGGCAGTGTCTGTTGAATATCTGGTAGAGGAGAAGGAATAGAGTGAGTGAGTCTATTAATCTAGATGAGATGTGCTGATAGTATACCCTGAAATAGTGGAATTGGATAGAAAAAGGTGGATTACTGATGAATAAATACAGCAAAGTATCAGAATACAAAATTAGTACCTAGAAATCAGTTGTATTTTTATATGCCAATAATGAACTATTGGAAAGGAAAATTAAGAAAATAATCCTATTCCCAGTTGCTTCAAAATGAATAAAATGTCAAGGAATAAACCTAACCAAGGGTGTAAAAGACCTGTACTCAGAAAATCATAAGACACTAAAGAAAGAAATTAAAGAAGATACAAATAGGTGGGGTCTTGTTTTAAACCCATACAGCTACCGTATGTCTTTTGATTAGAGCATTTAAGCCATTTACATATAAAGTGATTATTGATGGATACATATTTGTTGTCATTTTATTTTTTTACCTATTTTCTTCTGTTTTCTTCTTCTTAAAGCAAGCTTTAACATTTGTTGCAGTGCTGGTTTGGCGTTAACAAACTTCTTTAGCTTTTTCTTGTCTGGGAAGCTCCTCATTTTTCACATGATAGCCTTGCTGGGCAAAGTAGCCTTGGTTGTAGGTCCCTGCTTTTGATCACTATAAGTATTTCATGCCACTCCCTTCTGGCCCAATATGTTTCTGTAGAGAAATCTAATGACAGTCTAATTGGTGCTTTCTTGTAGGTAACTATCTGGTTTTCTCTTGCAGCTTTTAAGATCACCTTCTTGTTTTTAAGGTTTGCCATTTTAATCGTGATATGTCTTGGTATGCACCTTTCCAGGTCCATCTGGTATGAGACTCTCTGCATTTCCTGGACTTGTATGTCTTTTTCCTTCACCACATTAGGGAAATTTTTGGTCGTTATTTCTTCAAATAGGTTCTTGATCCCTTGCTTATTCTCTTCTTCTTCTGGTATCTCATGATGTAGATGCTGCTATGTTTCATGTTTTCCCCAAAAGTTTCTTAATCTCTTATCATAAATTTTAATTATTGTTTGATTTTGCTGCTCTTCTTGGATGTTATTCTACCTTGTCTTCCAAATCACTGATTTAATCCTCTGTTTCATCTAACCTACTGTTTATTCCTTCCAATGTATTATTTACTTCAGATATTGCATTTTCATTTCAGACTGGCCTTTTTTTATGATTTCTATGTCTTTTTTCATGCCATTGAGTATCCTTATAATCATTACTCTAAACTTTCTATCTGATAAATTACTTGCCTCCATTTCATCCAGTTCTTTTGAAGAATTTTCTTGTTCTTTCATTTGGGACCCATTTCTGTGTTTTTGAATTTTGGCTGCCTCTTTGTATTTGTTTCTATGTATTAACTAGAGCTGCAAAGACTCTAGTGCAGATCTATGACACTGCCTGTGACTGGCCCTCAGCAACCTTTTGGAGCTATTGGCAATCCATAGTTTGTGTCTCCTTCTGCTAGCTCTGGTCATGTGCTGAAAGAACAAAACTGCACACCGTGGGCAGCTTTTCCCAGCACCAGAGCCAGGGAAGGATCAACTAAAGTCTCTGGGAACTCTAAAAATCCACTTTTGCTGTTAGGCTTAATCACTAGAAATGCATTTGTCTATACTACTTTGCAGCCTGGCATAAACTCCACAGTGAAGTGAGAGGGATTCTCTGTGAGTAGGACTATTGCTTTCCCTCAGGCTGATGCTGCTCAGAGGGGAGAGTTCTGCCTCAGAAAGATGATATTTGCAATATGGGAAATGATTCAGCACAGTGATCCTGGTGGCTGACCCCTCAGCTCTCACCCAAGAGCCACCAGCCCCAGAGCCTCTTCATGTGGCTCTGGTCCATTCTGTCCTCACTCTGTCAGAAACCAGGGTAAGTGGCTACAACCAAAATTTTGTGTATTGACTCTTTTTTTAATAAAGATTTTATTTATTTATTTTTAGAGAAAGGGGGAAGGGAAGGAGAAAGAGAGGGAGAGAAACATCAATGTGTGGTTGCCTCTCATGTGCACCCTACTGGGGACATGGCCTGTAATCCAGGCATGTGCCCTGACTAGGAATCTAACCAGTGACCCTTTGGTTCAAAGCCCATGCTCAATTCACTGAGCTAGAGCAGCCAGGGCTGCATTGATTGTTTAAGAGGCTCTCTGTATCTCCATCTGTCTCTTCCTTGTGGAAAGAAACCCTGACTTCTTTTTACAGCTGGATGTTATGTGGGTTTCTTTTGAGGCTCTGGTGATGCAGGTTGGAGGACCCTGCTGGAGTTTACAACCTATACCCTTCAGGAGGAACTCCCCCGGCCCCTTAAATATCCCTCTAGAACTTCAGCTGCCACTGGTGGGAGTACAGCCAGCCCTCTCCACCTTCTCATTTCCTACCAGTCTCATTGTTGTGAGATGGTTGTTCTGCATGTCCTTGGCTATAAGACTTTTTTTCAGCTATTGTTCAGTTGGTTATTCAGGATTATTCTTCTATATTTTAGTTATAATTCCAGTTTGGTCCTGGGAGGAGGTTATTGTATCTTCCACCTACTCCACCACCATCTTGGATCTTCTCAAAGATATTAGTTTTAAAAGGTAGTAGTCAACTTCTTCAAAAGCTATAATTGTGACAAATAAGCATAAGACAATTTGTCATTCATTAACTGGCTTATTTCACTTAATAACTGGCTTATTTCACTCCATACTGTCACAAAAGGGAGTTCTTTCTTTCTTTCTTTCTTTCTTTCTTTCTTTCTTTCTTTCTTTCTTTCTTTCTTTCTTTCTTTTTCTTTCTTTCTCTTTCTTTCTTTCTTTCTTTCCTTCTTTCTTTCTTTCTTTTTCTTTCTTTCCTTCCTTTCCTTTCTTCTCTTCTCTTTTCTTTTCTTTCTTTCTTTCTTTCTTTCTTTCTTTCTTTCTTTCTTTCTTTCTTTCTTTCTTTCTTTCTTTCCTTCTTTCTTTCTTTCTTTTTCTTTCTTTCCTTCCTTTCCTTTCTTCTCTTTCTCTTTCTTTCTTTCTTTCTTTCTTTCTTTCTTTCTTTCTTTCTTTCTTTCTTTCTTTCTTTCTTTCTTCTGTGCAGTATTCCATCATGTAAATGTGTAAATGTACTAGTTTTTTGATCCATTCATCTACTGATGGGCAGTTAGGCTGTTTCTAGTGCTTGGCTGCTATAAATAACACTGCTATGAACATAGGAGTGCATAAGTTCTTTTGAATTGGCGTTTTTGAATTCTTAGGGTATATTCCCAGGAGTGGAATTGCTGGGTTACACCATATGACCTCACTTATAAGGAGAATCTGATGAACAAAATAAACTAATGAGCAAAACTGACCCAGAGACATGGAAACATGAAACAGACTGACAGTGGCTGGAGAGGTGGAGGGAGGGGGATAATGATGGAAAGAAGGGGAAGGGATTCATCAAAGAACATGTGTGAATGACTCATGGACCTAGACAACAGTGTGGGAATAGACTGTGGGAGCAGGGGTGGGCTGAGTGGGGGAGAACAAAAGGGGAAAAAGTGGGACAACTGTAGTAGTACAACAATAACAATAAAACAATAACAATAACAATAACACCAATTGGAGGACTCTGTGAACAATAAAAGAGACTGAAAGTATGCAATAGACTTTCAACTAGAATTAAGCTAAAAGATGACAATGATGGGTAATCAAATTTAAATTGAAAACCAACATTTCAGAGCTTCTATTTTATTTTCCTCTAAGATTTTATTTCATGTATCAAACATACCATATATATATATAGTAAGATACCATATATATATTTAGTAAGATATATATATATATATATATATAAGTAAGATATATATATATATATATATATGTATATATATATATATACTATTACTTCTTATTACTAAAATAGTAATTAAAAGAGTACCAGAAATAGTTATATCCTGGACACTGTTACACATACCCACACAAATTTAGTCTTTAGCCAAATAAGTTAAATATTACATTCATCTATTTTACAGATGGACAAGTGAGTTCAGATAATTTAATAAAAAAACTTTCATATAGAGTGACTTATTTATACAGATATTAAACATAAAGCCTGTGTTATAGTCACTATAACAAATTGTTTGTGAAAGTTATCATTTCTATTAGGAGCTCTTCTGAACTCTGTTCACTATTTTTTTAACAGGAATTATTTTCTCAAGAGAAAAAAATCTAGGAAACTAAAAAGAAGACAGAAGAAATCTAGGAAACTACAAAGAATAGGAGAATCTCAAATTGTGACACTTTTTTTTCAACCATATCTACAACTCAATTTTGAGACACTATAAATATTTGGGAATTATCAGAAAGTTGACAAGATAGAAGTTACAAATTATCAAAGACTTTATTTAAAGTATCCATTGTCCATGGAATCCAGAAAAAAGATTCTTATCAGTTACTAAACTATCTCTACAAACCAACTACTTTCAAAAATACCTCTACCACTCTCATAGAATGGTGCCACTAGCATATTATGATCAACGTGTTGTGCCTTTAGAGCACTCTTACCAACCAGGCACAGCAGACTCACTAACCCATCAGCACATAGGTGAAAATCTAAATCAACCCAGTAATCAGTCTTTGGTCAGAGTACAATCTGATAGTAATCACCTTTTAGCACCTCCACCATGCTCCAACCAGAAGGTTCAGAGAGTCTTTGCCAACTCCCAGGCTACAATTTCACAGGGCTTCCATAACAGGCTTTTGAAATCACTATTACCCCAGTCCAAATGCCAGTCTATACCTTCACTAGACCTCCACCAAAGAACTTCATTGCAGCCTAATTGGAGATTTTTGAGCTCACCTTTGTCCCACCCCAAACCTCAAACAATATCTTCACTTGACCTCAATAAATCATCATCACTGGAGTCTGATCAAACAGATTTGAGCTTACAATTAGCCCTCCCCAAACCTCAGAATACAATTTCCTTAGACCTTTGCTGTAAATCACCTTTATTGAAGTCTAATCAAAATGCCTCAAGTTCTTCATTAATCCCCTTCAAACATCAAGAAACACCTTCTCTAGACATCCACTGGACATCATCATCTTTGGGACCTAATCAAAGAGCTGTTAGCTCAACTTTACCTCAGTCCAAGCCTCAGAAATTACCTTCATTGGACAGCCTTTGGACATCTTTGTTAGAGAACAATCAAAAATCTTTGAGCTCATCGTCACTCACCTCTACACCTCAAACAAATGACTTGTTTCAGAAATCACCTTTGTTGCAGCCCAATCAAATGGCTTTTAGATCATCGTTACCTGACTCCAGACCTCAGACACCACCTGTATTGAGCCCTAATCGTTATGTTCTGAGTTTACCATCGTCTAACTCAAGACCAACAAAATCACCTTTATCATATTCTGTCCGCCAGACTCAGAGTTTGCCATTGTTTCAGCCCAAATCCCCAAAAGTTACACTGGATCATACATTTAGGACCCTGAGCTCACCAGTTTGTGACTCCAAGTTTCAAAACACCACTTCACCAAATGAAAAATACAATGTCACAGAACCATTTTGTTTGGTTTCACCCCATCTCAAACCAAAAGTCTCAGGTCAATCATTATCAAGCTCCAAAAACATAGCTGCTACATGGGGATCCAGAATCCAGAGCAAAAGCAGCTTTAATCTTTCTGCAAAGGCATATTCAAATAAAGAAATTCCATGGACTTTGGATTATATTTATCCTTGCATTGTTAAAGGTGGAAGTGTCCCTGATGATGTTGTAAATAAAATTATCACTTCTCTCTCCAAGGCCAGAATCCAAAGGGATCTCTGTAGGCAAATTCTGTTTCGAAGAATGAGAGGAAAACCAAATCCTCATCCTGGTCCCTGCCTTTCATCACGTTACATGGTCTGTTTAGCTTGTGCTTCCTGCATAAAAACTCAGTGTAAGCATCTTACAGGAAAAAAAGATCCTCGTAGTGCAATACTGTCTGTCATACCAACACCTGAGCCCAGTTCAGAGGGAGAAGTAGAGATGAAATTAGTTTTCATTCTTTCCCTACCAGAGACTTCTTTCTCATCTTGTCTTCCATTCCCTGTGAAAGAAAATCAACCTGATGAAGCTCTTAAAGAGAGTCTTGAAGGAATGAAGAAGATATCACAGTTTTCTCCTTTTGAACTTGATAACACACATGGGCTTAATATGAAGAAAACATTGCTGACAGCAGCCCCTGAAAACAAAGTTGTAAGCCCACAGAGCCAGGCCATTGACTGGCTGCTTTATGTTAAGAAAAGTCATTCTCAACCCCAGACTGGGCTCCCATCCTCTCCTTCTTCCATATCTTGCTCCTCATCCTCCTCTTCATCTTCTTCCTCTTCTTCCTCTTCCATTGCACCCTCCTCATCCTTTCCTTACAAAGACTCTACCACATCTAACCTCTCAGGCTGTGTGTTCACTAAGTTAGTTAGTTACCACCGGTTGCCCCCAGGGATCTCCTGGCTTGAGTTTATATGTAGCAAAAATTATCAGCTACTTTCTGGAAAAACACACCAAAGTCAATCTCCACCTCCCCAAACAAATCCTTCTAGGAAAAGTACCATAGTGAAAGGGCCAAAGGGGCCAAATGTACTTTTCAAATTTTTCCAAAGTAAATGAGAGACATCCTGATTAAATTAACTTTGTGTTTCTTTGAAAGCAATTGATTTCTTAGTGCTTTGAGACTGAAATTTGATTATCTATAATACTTAACATTCTTAGTAATGACTGAATGGGACTCTGGATTTAGCTGGTGATGCACCTAGTGAAGGGGAACTATTACTTTCAGGTCTATTTCTTAGTTAACTAATGAACTATGATCCCTAGAAACCAAAACCAAATCTTTTGTTTTTACTGAATGCCTGGCTTAGAGTAGCCATTATATAATTATGGTTAAATTAATCATAATTAGACAGAGACCAGAGATACTTTATCCATCTTGCCCAGAATAGTATTCAGATCATTGTTATTCTCTTTGCTCATAAGATATGATAATGACAATATTCTTCAGCCATATATACTAACCTGTTTCCCTATCTCTAAAGAAATTTCAGATCATGTTTAACTGTTAAGAATATAGAGATAATCTTTTCAGTTATGTGTTTCTAGGGAAAAGTTTTATGTACTCTGAAATCCAATGAATTATTTAACCTTACTTAACAAATTTCAGGAAGAATAACTGGTACAGATAATCCTACCTCATGCCTATTGTGACAATATTAAAATAATGGACTCTAAACTCACCTGTTTATCACTTTCGAAGAGGGTAATAAAAATGTTTTAAAAATGTCTTTGTTCCACTGGGTCTGCTGGTAATGGGAAGAGAAGGGATTTGTCTTACCTACTCACCTTAAGTAAGTATCTCTACCTCCAAAGGCTAGAAATATTATCTCTTTTATATAATGATGACTCATAATTCTGCTTCTACACACCACATCTTTCTGTTCACCAAAGTACATTGTGGCCATTTCCAATTACACAGGCATCTCAAACTCACCATGGCCAAAGCCAACTTTATCATCTTCACATTTATAATTTATGTCTTTACATTTACAGTCCTTTGTCCCTATGTCCTCAAATTCAGTTTAAGTACCAATAAACTGAATCATAATGTTTGCATCATTATGTTTGACGAGTTTTCTCATTGCCTGCTCCTATCCAAGTTCATGAATTCTATGGTTTTATTATCTGTAAAATTCAGCCTCTCCCCCAACCCCATTGTTACTCTCCTAGTTGTGGTCACATTTATTTGTCACCTGTATTACTGCAATAACTCCTAAACATGCACTTTAATTTTTGAATGCATATCTGAGGCACAAATTTGATGATGTCACTCCAGTGCTTATAATCCTTTTATCGTTGTACATTAAATTCTTTACAATGTATAAAATGTGACAAGGCCTTTCTTACATTGTACTTTTAAATTAATAATTCTATTGTTCAAAAGATCTTTCCATCTTTACATTTTTATCCTACAAAGCTCTATTTTTGTCTTTCTTAACATCTTCTTGGAAATCTTGTTCTGGTCCACTTACAGAAGGGTTAGTTGGTCTTCCCTATTACCATGAAACTCTGTGTTCACTCTTTGTACTCCTCTTACCTGCATTATAAAGCACTCATTCATTGTCTATCTTTATTTACCAGACTGAAAACTCCTGTTCACTATTTCTGTTGTTTTTAAAACCTAGTCTTTGGAGTAAAATAATCCTTTGAAAATATGTGTGTTGATATTGAGTTAATACTACTGAAGCTATTCATTTTTTTTCCTCACCAAAGGACATTTTTTTATTGCTTTGAAAGACAGAAAGGGTCAGGTGGGGAGAGAGAGTGACAGAGACAAGAGAAAGAAACATCTATGTGAGAGAGAAATATTGATTGGTTGCTTTCTCATATGTGCCCCAGCTGGTGATCAGATTCAAAACCCAGGCATGAGCCCTGACCAGGACCTGTACTGGTGACCTTTTGTTTTGTGGGACAACATGCAACCAACTGAGCCATGCCTGGTCAAGGACAACATTCTTACATTTTTTAAAAGCAAAGATATTGTGCTAGATTCTCTCAGATATTATGTATGATATTAAAATCACATGAACAACTATTATAAAGATGGAATTGTGGATATATCAAATGATTGAAAAGGAAAAACACAAATAAAACTTGTCCAATTAAAAAGTAGTATGAGCAGAAGTTTTTTAAAGTTGTTTTTAAAAAGATTAATGAGAAAACAAAATAGGAGGATTAATCTAAATCCAAAGATACCAGTCCTTGAGAAACAATACATTAAATAAGTTTGCAAACTATAAATACATTCAAAATACAATTTAACAATCTAGATAAAGGTTGCTTTCCAGTAATCTGCCTAAAAAATACAGGCAATAAAAATTAATACAAAAAAACTAATAATTTTTATATTTATTTAGTTTTTAAACAGGATTAGAATTTGTAGTTTTGACAGACTCTAAGATATCTTGGATTCTTGAACAATTAAAGACTTTTTATATGAAGGGATGAAGAAATCATTTCAGTTACAGAAACTTTGTTATAAAATTAAGAGAAATGATTAAAAATTTTACAAAAATGAAATATTCAATTAAACCATCAAATGTGACTCTTAGAATATGAAAACTTTCCATCAATAAAAATATGCTGAATTCAAAATTCTATATTTATTATATTTAAAGCTGTTTTATTTCATTCTATGATATATATTAAAAATATCTGTGCTCAGTTTTCTGAGGCAATTAAATTAAGAACATAATGCATCTTGTTGTTAAAATCATTCAGTACATGCATGCAAGTGTTATAAATCACTGCCAGTTTATGGAACTTGTTGAAAGAGAGGAGACAATGAATTTGATGATCTTGTGTTTTTACCAATTCCTGTTGGTTGAACTGTGAACAAATTAAAATTTAATGTGCTGTTAATTCTAAATTTCCTTTAACAAAATAGATGCTTGCCAAATATTCAATGATTTAAGACAAAATGGCAGTGTGATTTATATATTGCATTGATATGGCACTGCATACAAGTGGAATTTGTAGTACCAAAGACAGGAAAAGCTTATATGTGATCCCATTAGACAGGTAGAGAACTTATGTTGAAATGAAAACTTTTTATAATACAAGTCAATAATAATGATTACACACTTTCCAACATGAATCAATATGCATATTTTAATTGTATTTGGCAATGCTATATAAATTTTCCAGAGTGTAAAAGAAAAAAACTGAAGAACATTGATCTGTGTTGATGCAAGAGTCAAGAAATGTACTTCACCTGAACAGACATAGTGTTGAAAACAATATTCAAAATAAATAAAATTTCTCCTATAAAAGATAAATGAAATTTTAACTGCAAATATTAAAACAAAATGGTTTTTGATAATTGATTCAGTTATTTAAAACTTTTGTAATAACTTAAGGGCAATTTTCATATATAAATGTACTTTTAAACTGTAAATTTATCAACTTTAAATACAGATCAAATATATGTGATGAAAATTTAGCATCCAAATTGAGATGTATTATAAGTGTAACACACACACCAGATATCAAAGAAGATGGCACACACACTGTACAATATTTCAGTAATATTTATAATGATTACATGTTAAATAAAATATAGTATTAATGCTAATTTTACTAGTCTCTTTTTTTTCTTTTTTATTATGGCTACTGGAAAATTAAAAATGAGATATGTGGCTCACTTATATTGCTATTAGACAGTGTTGGTCTAGAATAGAAATAAGGCAGGAATGTTGAGTATCTTGAAAACTGTCATTTCTCCATGTCTAAGACAAATATGCTTGACATATGGTTGGTAGTTAATAAACATGTCTGAGTTTAAAAAAAGTGGACAGTGTGTTAATCTCTATGGAAATTTTATGAGATGTATAAGCTAAGCTATATATTTTTACTTTCTCTGTTTCTGTCTTGCTACTTTTTTTCATTAAACATGATTGTCATGAAACATTAAAAAGTTAGAAAGTTTAATAGTTGTCTTCTGATGCCACTTTGGAGGGATAACTATTATTAATAATTTGGTATATCACTCCAAGTTGTTCACATCTATCATTCTATTCCTCTACATTTTTTTTTGTGGAAAAAAATTGGCATCATTATATACACACTTAGTTTTTACCTGCTTATACAGTTTTACAAATTTTCATTATAAAGTAGTACATGCTTGTAAAAATTCACACAATAACCAAACATGTACTATAGTAATCCAGCATTGTTTCCCTCTTAAAAGTTTCTTAAATTTTAATATACTGTTCCATATTTTATCTATGCAAACATAAGCATATTTAATTCTTATAAAATAAGTGATATACTAAATATGCATTTATTTCTTCACTGTTATCTGCCTTGATATTGGAAGAATTCACCTCAATTTCCTTTTTCAGTCAGTCACTGAGAAAAATCACTCTTGGCTAATACTCCAATCCTGTATGGAACTTCCTTTTATAGTTTCTTTTCTTACCCCTAACCAAAATACTAAAACCCTATCTCAGAGCTTTATGCTATAGTCCACCTGCAGCAAAATTTCCAATACTGTATGGTCAACTCTCCTCTTATCATGCCCTTCTCAGTAAGCTCATTGGGTGAAATCTAGTTCTCTCTTGAGGACAGTGTATCCTCCAGGATTTTTCTTCAACATGGCTTATTCAACTCTTTTTTGAAATAGAGGGGTTTCACTCCTTTTGATTATCATTGGTATTTCTAAAACATTTTCTCTCTCTAAAACTATATATGTAAAACTATAAACCATACATTTTTATGTATGTATATTCACACACACACACACACACACACACACACACTCTATTTAAGAGTGTGAAAGTGAGTCTAGAAATAAAACACATCTAAGGACTGAGTGTTGGGACACTCTAGTATTTAGATATTACAGTAGTGAGGAACCAAGTAACAAATGAGGCTGAGAAGGAAAGAAAACCAGTAGCATACAGCACCAAGTAATCCAAGTAAGAATGTCTTTCAGAGAAGATGGGTTAATTTATTAATGAACTCTTGCTGAAAATACAACTAAGATGAAGATTAAGAATTTTACTTAGCAACACAATGTACTATAGTGTCCTTGAAAATAGTATAATAACTTAACA